CTTCTGTAATACTCATCCAACAGAACATTTTTTAGGGGTTCAGGGGAGGACAGATGACCTGAGGTGAGCAGTTCAGTACAATATTATATCTGTAGCTTTAGTGTAGTCTCCTTGAATGGAGTATATGAAGGTTTTCTGAGGAAATGTTTTGAACGTTGGAAGTTAGAAAGCTCGTGACAAATTCCTACTATAGATTTATTCTTCTCTACAAAGTGTTGATTAACTGCTATCTTTACTGTAACTTGGAATTAGGTTTTATAATCTTAATTATTTTTCTTCCTGTTACTCACTAAAGTAAGTAAAACTGAGTTTTGATTGAGTCCAGGTAACAGATAATCTTAGTTGCTGCTTCTTATATTCTTGCTATTTCACTCTTGACTCCTGTTTCCAATATCTGCAACTATGGTCAACTCCACCCTTCCTTGGTCTTTTGGGACACCATCCAGGCTTCACTAAGCTGAAAAAGTGGCTTCCACGGATATCAAAGGCAAACTGGATCACACCCTTCTTGCATGGATGGAGTTATTACACTTAATTTAATTTAGTAAGGCTGTTTCCTAAACTGAATGTCCATATAACATCAAATTCTGATACTTGAACACTTAATTTCATCCTGAATTGAGATGGAAAGCTTAAATACTAAAAATTTTAATGGAATGGAAATTTTTCAAAAAAGGAGAAATTGTCAGCTGGAAAACGGTGAATAAAATGTTCTAGCCTTTTGAAATGGAAACATTTAATTAAATCCATTTGGCCCTTAAAGCAGCATCAGTTTGAGCTACTGTTGCAGACCTCAAAAATTACCATTGCCTTGTGCACCGTCTCCGGTGGGGCCAAGCTCTTTGGCTGGGTTACAGGTCCCATGATGCTCTTACCATTACTTAGTCAAAGGGAGAATGCGTCATGAAGGCTGGAGGGGTGCCCAGGAACCCAGCCTTCTGGGAAAGAGGGGGACATGGAGTCCATGAATTACAGCTCCCAGCTGACAGCGGAGGAATTCGGACAGACACGGACTGATATTTTTCTGACAAAAATGATGTGTTTCAAGTTTTCCCCACAGAAATAAACAGCAAAATATTGAGAAAAGCAACCTTTTTTTCATTAAAAGCATCAAGTTTTGCGCAAAAATCCCCACCCATCCCCACTGCTTTTTTTTTTACACCAAAAATAATACTAGAATAGAAAAATCGTGTTACAATGGGAAAACCTTCAGCCAGCTCAGCTAATTGAGTAACAGTGCCTACTTAGGCACGATCTTGCTCAACTGGCTGTCCTGGATGCTTCATGAATTGTAGTGTTTCTCCAAAAAGGACACCCAGGCTTTGGGACATGGCAATTCCTTCCCCCGAAGTGAAGGAGCTTGAGGCTTCTTGTTTGAGGACCAACCAGGTTGTGTAGGTGAGGAGGTTGTAAGAGGTCTCCTGACACAGAGGGCAGATAGGACAGGCTGGGGACAGCTTTGGGGGAAGAAATGCCTTTGTGGAGGATGGGACATGCCATCTTTTTGAGAGGAAGGGGACACCATGTCAAGCTCAACCCTGCCTTGGTGCCTGTGTCACCTCCCTGGCTTTGCACTCTGCTCTGCCCTGCTGTGTATGTGAAGCGGGGCAGCTGGGGAGCCCTTGGTGCTGAGGCATCCAGGTTGTGGCCACACAGTTACAGCTGCCTTCCAAAATGGGGAATAAATTCCAGCTGGAAGATGAATGTTGGCTGTGCTTTTTCATCCTGTTTTGTAATACTGGCCCAATATAAGGCATGGCTGTTGTTGGCGTGCAACTCAGAGAGGTGAAGCTGACCTGATGAGAAAGGTTTAAAGGTGACCTTGGAGTTGCCATGAGTGTAGCCTTACTTGTATCCACTTACATGTGATAGCCCTGTAATTCAAGGGACACAGCAATACTGGAAGTGGAGAAAGGATAGGGGTAGCTTTGGTCCCAGAGTTAGAGACAGAGAACTGTTTTCTTATTTAAAAGAATAGAACTTCTTCTTGATTATTTACAAAACAAATCTTGCCTGTAAGGAATTATGTGCGAAAGTCCTCATGGTGTTTCAGTAGCACTTGCTTGATTAATTTTGAACAAAAATAACTCTCCGTTAGGGCCTTGCTATATTTAGATTTTTTTAAATAAAATACTTTTATACTGATATGAGGGTGAATTTGACAATATATCCTGTTCTCCTTCCCATGCTGTAAGAATGTATACCAGAGTAAACAATCCATAGATTATAAATATTGTCCTACTGGGTGGGCTCTACTGTTTTACCTATGTTAGCCCGTTTGTAAAGCTGTATAACTTTAATGTGTAAGACCTGTGCTTTCTTAACAGAGTAGTTCTAGTCCTTGTTGAACCTCTGTAGCTGCAGCAGAAATTTGGAGGATTGTGGTCAAGTAACATACATACCTATGAAGATGTAGCACAGCTAGTTTGGTGTCTAGGAGATGTTGAGTTACTTCAACTTAGAATCAAAGAATATCTCAAGTTGGAAGGGACCCATAAGAATCACCAAGTCCAACTCCCTGCTCTTCACAGGACTACCTAAAACTAAACCATATGACTGAGAGCATCATCCAGATGCCCCTTGAACTCTGACAGGCTTGGTGCCATGACCACTTCCCTGGGGAGCTTGTTCCAGTGACTGACCATCCTCTCTGTGAAGAACCTTTTCCTAATGTCCAGTCCGAACTTGCCCCTGACACAGCTTCATTCCATTCCCTCCTGTCCTATCGCTGGTCACCAGAGAGAGATCATCACCTCCCCCTCCGCTGCCTGCCTTGAGGAAGGCATATGCTGCAATGTGTCTCTGGGAATTAGGAAAACATGTTACACCCTTTGCACCCAACCCATTGTTGCGTGATGCTGTGTAACCAGTTGGTGGTCGTACATGGGCAAACTGGCCATGAACTATTGTGGCTGAGCGGCTAGTGCATGTGGTCAGAGCAACGTTGGTGTGAGGTTGGACTGCCAACAAACCTTTCCCTCTGCCTTCCAAAAACGTAAAAGCAAGCCCTTGCCCTGTTGCAGATGGTGAGTTTGTCCATGCAGGAACCAAGCAAAGCCTTCAGGATTTATGTTAGTGGCTTATGTGAGGGGTGAGACTTGTCTCACCTGTATAAGTGACAGGTAATCCTAGACTCTCTCTGTGGTTGCAAAGGGTCTGCCATCCCTGGAGAGACTCATTGACCCTGTGTGAGGACGTGACAGCCTCCAGAAGGAAGATTTTGTTTCCTCAGAACTGGAGGAAGCACAAATGGTTAGTCTGAGCTAGATGTCTAAATTCTAGATAGGCTAAAGGGAAGGGAGATAAGTAGCTCCCCCTCATCTAAATATTGAAAAGGGTTTTGCATTTACTTTGCTCTTAAGTGCCTGTTACATTTATTCTTGCTTTTTTTTTTTGATTTTGTCACTCCTATTTCTTTTTTTAAAAGTAACAAATGAAACCTCTTGCTCAAAGTGATTGAAATGAGACTTTTTTTCAGCTCTATATGTGAAATTTGTATAGCAGACCTTTATAAGGTCTGGGTTTTAGAATTGCAATGAATAATACGGTACCCCAAACTGTCCAGCTCTTAGGTTGTGTGTGTGGTGACAGCTGCTATGAGTAGAAGTGGGCTTGCTAGGGATGAAAAGGCAAAACCATTACATGATTAAACCCAGTATGACTGTAGCGAGTACTGCAAAGTATAAACCTGGGTTCTCATCAGATCCGTACTGGCTGTTTGAAATTATTTCATAAATCGTAGCGTTTTCTCTGACAACTGAGTAAATTGATACAGAGCAGTTAGTATGACTCTGGTGATGGTCTGAGAACTCATAGCAATGCCCATGATACACAACTGCAGGGCAGGGAAGGGGCAAATAAACCGGTGATGGAAATTTGAGCCGGCTGCCTGAGGTGGCATGACTGGTGTTATTAAAAGTAACTGTTCTTTCAGTTGGCCCTGCTTGATTAATTAGCTAAAATAGTAATAATAATTCAATCTGCAAATTAGAGTTCTCACTGTCTTGGTGTGAAAATTAATGGGCTGAAGTTTCAAGACTTGGAGATGGTAAAAGGATTCTTGCAGTTGAGAAGTCCTGAATGGCGCTCTCCTTATAATATAACATATACATATTTATGCGTAAATATATACACATACATACTGTACTGTATCAACACATATATGTGCTGAGTACTCGTGTTCTTTGACTTTAACTGGTACTCTGCTTTGTTTAATTGCAGTTCAATGTAAAAGACTCTGGTTGATCAAGCTTCAAAACCCAGCCATTCCTTGGGTAGAAACGTAAGAGTCCGTAATAGTGACTCTAGGTGGTTTGGACATGGTACACTTGGAGTGATGTAAATTTGATGAATTTCTGCAATATAAATCCCAGGCCTTGGTGAAGATGAGCGTAGTCTTGCACTAACACTGCAGTTCTATATTGCAGCTTCTGAAAATTAGGTAGAGTAACAGAGAAATAGATTGCCCAATGCTTTGTGAACTAGTAAGAGCTACTCCCTAAGCAGAACAACCATACGATGACTTTCCTAGCTCCATGTTGTATTGCTTAAGCATTGGCTGTAATTCTAACAATCATCTGGTGGATGACTGGGACAAGGTTTTTTTTGTCTGTTTCTGATCTTGTTTTTGACTGTTCTCAAAGAAATGCTTGTATTCAGGCCGTAGCTTCTTTCTC